GAGAGAGAGAGAGAGAGAGAGAGAGAGAGAGAGAGAATAAAAGAATTAAGTGATTAACGAGCGTTGGTGAATGGGCGAGCGTTGGTGAACGAACGAGAGGCGGGCTTTTAGCTTTTTAGAGAGTGGGGGTGGGCTGACTTCTAGAGAGTGAGAATGTTTTTAAATTTTAAGTGTTGTAGTTATTAAAGTCACAAAAAAATATGTAAAAGAGTATACGCCTGTATGGTATTATAAGATAAAGAATAACTTTATTTTACACTTCAACTAATTCGGTGCGGTTTGATTGAAACCACACCCTTCGGACATAAAACCGAAATGTACCCTGATTTGTGCAGTTTCTCAAAATTCAAACCGCATCGCACTGAATACATCAGTTCGACACGGTTTTTTGGTTCTGATACAGTTATGCTCTCCCCTACTCAACATGCTATGCTTAATTGGCACAACTAACTCCAAGACTCAGAGATATGTAACCAACTGAGATAGTTAGGGAATGATTAACTGCAGACTAAAAGTCGTTTTGAGTGATCAGTCGTTTTGTTTTTACTCTTTAACTCAAAATTCAACAAAATTTAGTTAGACTCGACTCTCTTTGATATTATCAATGTAATAATATTATCAATTTATCATTATAACGCATCACATCAACTTTAATTCATTATTCATTCACTCACATATTTTTAACTATCTATTATTTATAATAATATGTCTCATACATTTACATCACATCAACTTTAATTATTAAATTTCAAATATTATTTAAATACAAACTCTAACTCTCACTCAATCAATTTTATTTTAACCAATAATTCAATCAAAACTAAATTTATTTATATTGAGGGAGCTCGTGATTTTCTTAAATGAGTTCATTACTGCAGTAGTTTATCAATATGTAATATGATATAACTTTTATATTTTTTTTACAATAACGACATTCTTGTTATTTTCGGGACCAAACACCAAAACACATTCAAACTATGGGTCGATCACTTATTCCTAAAATGATTTTGTTGTTTTCTTTACACTTCAGATTGATGATTTTCCAATTGTGAAATAATTTCAAATTATTTCACATGACAATTGAAAAATATGAACGATCAACAAGCTTACTATTTTGTTTGTTTTCTTCTCACTTCTGATTCATATTTGACGATTTTGAAATAATTTCAAACTTTTTTCACAAGACAATTGAACAATGTAAACGAACACCAAAGCTTACCAACTAATATATTACTAAAAATATACATAAAGGAAAACAATAATGGATCCTCTCATGACAATTTTTTTTTTTTTTTTTTTTTTTTTT